TAACACAACCACTTCCAAATACATCAGTCAATACCTTCTCAAATGTAGCTGATCACCTGATGATTAGACACCCCCCTAGTTTATTCCACCTGAAGATTAATCACCCTAACGCTAACTAGGGGTTAGATTAGGTTAGGTTAAATTAAGTTAGCTTCGGCTAGGTTAAGATGGATTAGGTTAGGTTTGGCTAAGTTAGACTGGGTTAAGGCAGCGTTAAGGTGGTTAATCTGCAGGTGAGATAAGCTAGGGGATTAATATTCAGGTGGTCCCAATTTAGCCAACACCCATATGAAGTGATACATAACATTATAATAACATAATTCTTTTCTATCCATATTACATAACCCTGTCGACTGCTCTTCTTGACTTCACTGGTAGATGGTTTGTATGTGTGAGGGGTGTTTTTTCTGGTAAGTTTTAAAGAGCAAATGATATTACGGCTTATCCTTGTCAACAAAACATGGGGGACACGCCTTAAGGACATCAGTGAGTTAAGTTTATATTAGAGTAGAATTCGCTGTAAATAATAATAATGGTGGTAGTAATAGTAGTATTGTAATAATAATAATAATAATAATAATAATAATAATAATAATAATAATATTAGTACTGTTGTAATAATAATAATAATAATAATAATAATAATAATAATAATAATAATAATAATAATATGTCAAATTACGAGACAAACATTCATAGTACTGTATCGGGAAACACAAATTTATACCCTATTCGCGTAACTCTGGAACATGAAACAAATCAAATACTTCATACATATATAATGGGCGGAAAATAACCATTGCCATTTAACTCTCGACTGACACACAAACAAACATACACCAAGCAATTATAAACTCATATACTGTACATACAAACACACATTCAGTCACACACAAACACACAGACACACACAGATATCCATAAATGCATGAAAGACAAACAAACTGTCAGTCAGGATAAAAAAAAAATTAAAAAAAACGAACCATTTTTTTCCAGGCCGTGTTTTCCTAAATGTAGCGTCCAGGGTCTCGACAGCCTCCCGTGCACACCAAAACCCAGCACCACAACAAACCCTTTCCCGCGCAAATTGTTTATAAATTGATTCAGTGACCGCGAGCGAGACCCGTGTTGTCTGCTGTCCAATTCACTCATGTATTTGATCACTGGTAGTGGTGGTGGTTCGCTGTTTTATGTTATTGCTGGTTTAATGTCGTATGTGACTAGTTGTTCATTGTTGGTTCACTGGTGCATTTAATCGCTAGTTCACTGTTGTCTGCCCGCTGCTGTGTCTCTGCTATTTCACTGCACGTGTAGCTACAGTGACGTTCGGTTTTCTTCAGGCCAAACTTCTCGTAATTACGTCTCGAAATGTGAACTAACTTTAAGATATAGTTTAAGTAGATTTTGTTCGTGGTTACTGAGAGAGAGAGAGAGAGAGAGAGAGAGAGAGAGAGAGAGACTCCATGAGAAACACAGGACCCATCCCCCACTTATTTTACCTGTGCACCGAAAACTTAATATACCGCAGTGTACTATATCCATACTGCCCCTAATAGCCCCCCCACAGACATACGGAACTCACGATAATTTTCAATAAGAATATAAACACCGTTCCTCATTTCACATTTTTTTTACCATATATTAAAATCCTAAAACTTATATTTCGGATTTGAGGAGATTAATTGGAATTTCTGGTTGGATTAATCAGTTCAATAGACACGTCTTTTCCGACTGACTGCACGATAATGTTTTTCCAGGTGAGGGAGTTTACTGCAAAAAAATCTCATTATGTATGCTCTTAGGTGTACAGCCAGACCAACACAATACTGGTTCTCACTTAACCAAACCTAACCATATTCTCAGTTTTTTCTATAATGTCTGGCTGGTCCTGAGGGAGAGACAGATTGATGGAACAAGATCTTGAATTTAAATTAAAAGTTACAATATATTCACCTTCAGTGTTTGTTTTGAAGCTGTGAATCGACGCACACGACAGCACTGTGGCTGTCTCATGACCACTACTTATACACCAGACAAGTAAAAACAAAACAAACTAACTTAAGGTTTACGGTACAGTCCTAGTGTAATTTCGACGCCATTTTCCCCTTCATCTGTGTGTTCCTACTTCAGTGAATCAGTCAACTGCTCTATCACATCCTCAGTTCAGGGAGAAGATTTAGAGTAGGAAGTATTGCAGTTTGAGTGAGTCAGATGTGTTGTTAGATGACCAGTTGGGGAAAATGATCTTGGGAACCTTTGAGAATCTGTCGATTTGTCGTACCTTAAGAGAAGTAGTTAGAATAGTTCTCATATCACTAGTTAGGTGGAAAATAACTTAAGAATCATTGAGAATCCATCTGTGTCATAGCTTAAGAGAATTAGTTAAGAGGAAAATTTACCTTAGGAACCTTTGAGAGAGAGGGAGTAAGAGAGCAGGTGGCCGGCGGCGTGATAACACATGCACACTCCTCGTTTGTTTGTGTTAACAGCTAACACAATCATAATTGCTCATTTGACTCTGTTAGCTGTTGTCATGGCGGGTGTGTGGCTGTGTGCGACCTTCACGCTTATCCATAAATCCTGTTAGTTTTTTTTTCATGGAGTATTATTTGATCACAAACGCCAGGCGCACATAGGTTCTATGTACTGTTTAGGCGTCACCTACACCTAGTGTGTTTGTGTCACCTTCACCCAGTGAGTTATAAAGTTATGAGCACAGGGACAGTAACCATCATGTATATTAACCTAACCTAACCTAACCTAAGCTAACTTGACTTATACATGAATAGATATGTTCCTGAAAGCTGCTTAACATTGCCACACGGGTCTACACTACAGGTACACTATATGTCTATAGGTACACTACAGGTACACTAAGCAGTATAGATACACTAAAGGGACAGTATAGGTACACTATGGGTACAGTAAAAGTACAGTACAGGTACAGTACAGTAGATATGAAGATAATTGTACCTAAAAACACCTTAATTAACCATATACATATAGTAATAATGACTCCTGAATCCCAGACTAAGACAAATACATCTAAGAACTACTTAACCTGTGCACAGACATACAATAAATAAACACGTGACAAACTAGAAATAAACGGGCACGTCCTCACACATCATACACAGTGCACACATTTGGTGAATTTTAAAATGCGCGCCAGGTGATCTTCCCCCACTTCCAGCGACTACTTATACTTTACCCGGGAACATTATGTTAAGGATAAACATCAAGGAAGTTGATTATGGCTCCAGTATTCATCATCATCATCATCATCTTCATCATCATAAATCTTCATCCATAGTCACCCGGAACAGCCACTGACAAAACACCTTGCTGATAGATAATTGTGACTGATGGCTGTTCCCTTTACATGTCTCTTTTAAGCAAGAAAATTCCCTTCTAAAAAAACATGAGCATTGGGGTTAACACGAGTCGGTGATTATGGAGACGGCTGGACGATCTTGTTGATTTGTACATATATTTGCATTATATTGGCGATTCCTCGAACTACTGGTGAAGCAGTTCATCGCAAATACCTACAAACTTTTCCTGGATTTGTAAACTAACTCTTTCTACTACAAACATACATACACACCTGCATATTAAACGTTCTTTATTCTCTAATTTAAATTGACATAGACTGAGAGAGGAATGATTTTTTAGTAATATTTTCATGAGTTAGGAGAGTGATCATACCACACTTGACCACATTATAAATAATTTATTGGTAAACAAACAATATTTAGTGACCAAACCTTGAGTAACTATAGATAATTACTGAAGGTATGACCCCAGCTATAAAAAGTGGATAATAAAATGTGAATAAGGACCGTAACTCTAGTAAATGATGAAGGAAATTACTCATGAATGAACTTGACCGAGATATTGGCGATAACAAGCAACATTAAATTATCTTTCAATCTAACAGCCTCTCTCTCTCTCTCTCTCTCTCTCTCTCTCGTCATGATGCCTACTGTTAAACACTCAAAAAAAAAAACGAAAAAAAACCTGTTGATCGGGCGAGAAGACCCCAGGAGACACAACAATATAATATTCTGTATGTTAGTAGCCTCAAGGACCAGCTGAAGGAAGTGTGTGTGTGTTAGTAGCCTCAAGGACCAGCTGAAGGAAGTGTGTGTGTGTGTTAGTAGCCTCAAGGACCAGCTGAAGGAAGTGTGTGTGTTTTTTGGCTGTTGGCTCGGACCAGCACCCCTTAGGACGGGAGGCGAGCGTTGTATCCACTTGGCCACTGTAACCGATTTCTTAAAAGCGCAAACAAACGCAAAACTATAAATATGCTTAAATACATATAAACATGCATAAATATCCGTAAAATAAGGGCAAATATACATATAAACACACACACACACACACACACATATATATATATATATATATATATATATATATATATATATATATATATATATATATATATATATTATATATATATATATATATAAAATCAACGACCTCACCAGACAGGACTCAAACCCTCGACCTAATGCATTGGACCAGGGAACGTTACCGACCTTACCACAAGAGCACTAAAAACAGTTCTAGACTATGTGATATTTCACACAAAGTCTGTTCATCGAGCTGATGGCGCCGTGAACCTCTCATTGGGAACTGCCCGTGCTGCTTATGTGGGTGTCAGTAGCATTTTACCGAATCCAGCTGGTACGAAACACGACGTACCATGTACACTTCATTTTTGGTCCATATAACACGCGTGTTATATGGACTAAAAATGAAATATATATATATATATATATATATATATATATATATATATATATATATATATATATATATATATATATATATATATATATATATATATATATATATATATATATATATATATATATATAATCGTAAGATATACATAATTTTTTTAAATACATATAAACATATTAATACGCATCAATATTTACAAACTCGCGTAAAATTAACATAAACACAAGCAATAGGTGTAAAATACTCACATTACTCCACGTCTGGTTGCCGCTACTGAAGAAGGCGCTGTAAGACTGAGCGGCCTCCTTCAGTGACTCGTGGGGGGTTGCGGCGTCCGTTTGCTACTCCTACACTAGATGACACTGGCCCTTGGGGGTGGTTCAACTCTGCCCTCACCCCCAGCAGGAGATGATGTCTGAGCGGCAGTTATCAAGAGATCACGCTGAACCAGGATACACGACCAGCCATCGGAAACCCATTACCAAGAACCATTAACCCATTACCAAGAACCATTAACCAATTACCAAGAACCATTAACCCATTACCAAGAACCATTAACCCATTACCAAGAACCATAACTCATTACCAAGAACCATTAAGTCGTTACCAAGAACCCCTAACCCATTACCAAGAACCACTAACCCATTACCAAGAACCATTAACTCATTACCAGGAACCATTAAGTCGTTACCAAGAACCATTAAGCCAAGAACCATTACCACCATTACCAAGAACCATTAAGCCAAGAACCATTAATTCATTAAACCAAGACCCATTAACCCATTACCAAGAACCATTAACCCATTACGAAGAACCATTAACTCATTAAACCATGAACCATTAACCCATTACCAAGAACCATTAACTCATTAAACCAAGAACCATTAACCCATTACCAAGAACCATTAAACCATTACCAAGAACCATTAACTCATTAAACCAAGAACCATTTGTAATGATTGTTTATCAGACCACAGCTTAGAGCCCAGAGAAGAACAGCACATATAGCAGTGACCGGAAGCGCAGGTGTGTACTCCCTCCTCAGTTGAACCACCCTTCGTGATTAAAGTGAGATTAAGACCTGACCCAGCAGAGGTCACGGTCACAATGAAGCAGTTCTCACCGTCGCATGATTAGTCAAACCCGAGTCAAGACCAAGAAGCTACCCTCCATCCGCACCACGCACCTGATCAAACACAGCTGTCTCGACACACCCAAATTAGTGACGACATCTGCCGGCCTGACACTGCCAATATAAGGAGCGGCTCCTTCCCAGAGACAGACAGAACTCAGAGTCACACTCGTCACGAGTCGAGGTTGGGAGGGGGACTTCCCTCCCCAGTACAGAGTTCCCAGCTAGCAGAGTCTACCACAGGAGACAGAATCCAGCACCACTTTCTTCAGCAGCACCTGCAGACAGATTCCCCAGCCGCTGGGCCTCCCTCAGGTCACACGTGAGTCATTGTCAGAGCGATCCATAGGGTGAGTTACTTAAGGTGAGAAGAGTATCCATTTCATGTTTGTGTCCGAGAGTCATTGTCGAGTATCGTCAATATATTAATGTGTCCATGCCATTAAGTTAACTAATAAAAATCTGTAATTAGAATTAGTGTTTAGAAAATTCCCCCTAAGAATAAAATACAGTTAAATAACTTATCAGCCACACTACCAATCTTCTTCACTTTACAATCTTACTACAAATAATAATTCTTGCTGTACTTTATCTTCCTACCCCGAATTCCTCTCATTACACATTAACCCATTACCAAGAGCCATTAACCCATTACCAAGAACCATTAACCCATTGCCAAGAACCATTAACCCATTGCCAAGAACCATTAACCCATCAAGCCAAGAACCATTAACCCATTACGAAGAACCATCAACCCATTACGAAGAACCATTAACCCATTACGTAGAACCATTATAAGCATTTGTCACATTAGCAGCAACAACAAGACTCTTAAGATATGTGTGTGTGACTCCGTTTTTCCAAGAAGAATATTTCGAGTTTGTTTGGTTCTGCGAGAGTTTAAAGGACATTATCTTGTAAGGAGAGACATTGTGCCTCTCATAGTGCCTCAGTCCAGGGAGTCGTGAGGGGGTGACTTTGATGCCACCCACTATTGCCAAGACTTTAGACTCCTGTTGTTTGAGCCAAGAAGACTTAAGACTCCTGCTGTTTGAGCCAAGAAGACTTAAGACTCCCGCTGTTTGATCCTATATGACTTCACAAGAGGATAATGGCTACATCTTCATCACATTAACTTCAACACATCTTTTTTTTATCTCATTGTGTCATTGTGTTCTTAATCACAAGTAAATCTGGAAGTTCAGTATTTTTTTCTCTCTTTATACATGAGAATACTCCGGAGATTGTGATGAGTAAGGAAGATTACGTTTCAGGAATCAAAAAGACACGTAGGTTCATTTTTCCTTCGTAACTGGGAAATTAAACACGAAATTAACATTGGAAGTAGCGTTGAGATTACTGAAGAGAACTCTACCTTAATGAGACAAGTTTCTCCATTATTTAGTTTAAGGGTAAAATTAATAAATAAACAGAGTACAGGTATAATCCTCAGCCACGCCCTTTATTATTATTATTATTATTATTATTATTATTATTATTATTATTCCCCCTCTCACGTGATAAGTGTATGGGTAAGTATAATGGTGTCTTTGTTTGTCTGTCTGTTTGTCTGCCTGTTTGTCTATCCGTAGTTAAGCCTGTACAATAAAAGGTTCTGTAGTGATAGGAAGCTTGCCTGGTATAGGAAGAACCGTATTAATGAGGTCAAAAATTTTAGGTCACTATAAAGAGGGTGGGGTGGGGTAAGGGGGTTGCTGTTAGTTATTGGTTTATGTTGTCACTCATTTTGGTTCATCATAGTTCATCACCATCATCATCACCATTAGCACCATTATCACCACCACCACCATCATCACCACCATCACCACCACCATCATCACCACCATCACCACCATCATCATCACCACCACCACCATCACATCACCACCATCATCATCATCACCACCACCACCATCATCATCACCACCACCACCATCATCATTATCACCACCACCACCATCCACCATCATCATCACCACCATCACCACCACCACCATCATCATCACCACCACCACCACCATCATTATCACCACCATCATCATCACCACCATCACCATTGTTACCGCAAGCGGTACATAATTATGATGACATATAAACAAACGTTATGTTAGGTTGTAACTCATGTCATGTTTATTGGGCGTGCCTGCCCGTGTACAGTATATAGTGTTGAGATGGAGGCAGATGAGAGACCTAGAGTAGGTTGAGGTGTTGGGTGGTGGGAGGTGAGCTTGTTTGCGTATAATACGCCTGACACAGCGAGTTTGAAGTGGCCAACTTGACGCCAGCCTCACTTTAGCTATCCCCATCACACCACCAACACCTAGCCTGTTTCTCCCGAAGACTTTCAACACGTAAATTTAACTTGTATTTATTGTATACACAGGTAGACTGGGTCCATTGCTTCATTTATCATTGTGACGACATAAAAATATGGAAACTTAAGTACTCATTATAAGTGTTAAGATTAGACTGATTACATAGCTATGATTGTTATGTAAATATATATATTAGATTAGACATTTATGTGATTGCCTATGTGTGATCTATGTGAAATACTAAAAGGAATTGTATCCAACAGGTTTGACCAAATTATAATGTTTGAGTCCAAAGTCACAAATTTCACTAAACCCTCTAACCGTCTCATTGGCGGTTACAACCATCATACAACAGCTCCTGCACTATCTCCCTCACTACATCATCACCACCACCATGACCATCATACAACACCTCCTACACTATCCCCCTCACTACATCATCACCACCATTATCATCTCTATCAAACAACAACTTGAACTGGCCCTTTAACTGTTGCTTCTTGATGAGTTAATGGGGCTGGAGCATGTAAAAGTATATAGGGTTTATCGTAGCCAAACCCAACTGTCCTTTCTGTATTTATTAAGAAAATATATTATATACAGTTCCAAGTGTATATCACCGTAACTTAATCCCTGTAGCTATGAGTGTTAAGATGAGGAGGGAGGCTATGTTAAATAGCTCTTCTAAATACGTCCTGTTGGGGTGAGGGGTTGAGTAAGAGTGCCTGTAATACCCGTCGAAGGAGAACGGTGTTATATCCGACGTCCTCCCTAGAGGGAAGACGGAACCATCCACGGTGGCTCTCAATAACGTCTTCCTCTAGTCAAGGATATCAAACTACTGCCAGCATTAGGTGGCCAGAGAGCCGGCTACTCAATGCCTTAACTCAGCACCAAGTGACGCGACTTCCCGTGGACACACCTTAACACGTGCTCTGAACATGCACCTCATAGCTAGTGGAAAGTTACAGGGGATGATAGAGTATATAAGTCTAATGTAATTAACCCATTTATATAAATACTTCTGCCTATAAGACAGAGGCTATTACAAGCTCCTACAATATCCCCATCACTATATCATCATCACCACCACCATTACCATCATACAACAGCTCCTACACTATCCCCCTCACTATATCATCACCATCACCCAGTATGCTGACGCACTTCAAAAACCAATTTCATAAACTTTCACCATCCATTATTCTGCTCAAACAACTTGTCTGGTGGAGAAAAAAAAATCATATTGAAAGTGAAGCTCCAATTTGTCATCAATATTTTGTCTTATTACCCAAAACAGCTCCTAACTTTACCTTTAAAACTCTTAATTACTTACCTGTTTTCTCACCTGTGATGTTGAATACCTTGACACGAGAATTTTAATTTAACAGAAAATATTTCAAACGACAGGTGAATTTGTTTTCATTGTTGTTTTTGTTTTCTTGTCGTGTAAATAATTGTGTTTGGTGAAGGACGAGATGTGTACAGTATGGTGTAAGGTGAGTGGTGTATAGTGAGGTGTGTATGGTGTACGGCGAGGGGGTGCATAGTGTATGGTGGGGTGTATATGGTGCATGGTGATGAGTATATGGTGTTCAGCATATGGTGAGAAGCGTATGTTGTATGTTGAGGAGCCTGAGGCATGTATATTATATAGTGAGGACCCTGAAGACTGTATAGTGTACGGTGAGGAGGTGTATGGTGTGCAGTGAAGAGCCTGAAAGCCGAGTTAAGCTTACACTAGGTTAAAGCCGGCTTGACGTCCGGCCTCCAGGAGTTCTAAATACACAAGTTTGTATCTGGCCTCCGTCTCAAGGAACTGCCGGATAACTTGAAAAGTTTTGATTGTCTGAACTTCATAATATGCATTTTAGGAGCCGGCGGCCAGACGTGGGGGCGTGTCTGGCTGATCTTGGCCTTGATAATAGCCCAGATTACCCCACCAAGTCCTGCCCAATATTCCCTCCCTTCTACCTGATAAGATTTAGGATGTCTTGGTTCGCTACCCCTCCCTTCTTCTCTCCCCTGGCTCCCTTCCTTCTCTCCCTGGCTCCCTCCTTTCTATCCCTGGCTCCCTCCCTCCCTCCCTCCTCTACCCCTGGCTCTCCCCTCTCTCCCTGGCTCTCCCCATCCCTCCTCCTCCTGACTCCCCCCTCCTCTCCTCCTGGCTCCCTCCCTCCCTCCCTCTTTCTTTCCCTCCCTCCCTGGCTCAAATCCGACCTAACCCTTGATCCATACTTCTACTCTTCCCTAACTCAAATCTGGACAGACGAACGCATGGACAGACAGACGGACACGCGCACGGATGGACGTAGAGCAAACATTCCAAAATCTTTCTCCCAGGACGGCGGTGGACAATAATCACTACCGAGGTTGTTTACAGTACGAAAAAAAAACCTGAAGATAAATTAATTAGTGAACGACGGTAAACAACACTCGAGGAAATATTAACTTGACTCATACCAAAACAAAACAACATTAAAACTTCCATCAGCAAGGGCGAGGAAGGGCAATAAAGGTCTGGGAACGTAATGGAAGGGCAAGAAGGGTCAGGGATGGGCAGGAAAGGTCAGGGAATGCCAGGGAAGGGCAAGTAAGGTCAAGGACGTTCAATGAAGGTCAAACATAAAGGAAGGGTAAGAAGGGTCAGAAAGAGCAGGAATGGTAAGGGAAGGTCACAGTAAGGCAGGCAAGGTCAGGGAAGGCAGGATAGGGCAGGGAAGGTCAATGAAGGTCAGAAAAGGGCAAGAAAGGTCAGAGAAGGGCAAGAAAGGTCAGAGAAGGGCAAGGAGGGAATAAGGAAGGGCAAGAGAGATCAGGGAAGGGTAAAAAAGATCAAGTTAGGTCAAGAAAGGTCAGAGAAGGGCAAGAAAGGTTATAGAAGAACAGGAAAGGCCAGGGAAGGTCAATGAAGGTCAGGGAAAGGTCAGATAATGGCAGCAACGGCGGAACTAGCCACACAAATGCCCAAGAGTGATCAGGTCAATTTCACTGGCAGGTGACTTAGTGACCATAAATCTGGCCGAGAGAGAGAGTTTCCGTTCTGTCCTCCTCCATGTGTCTCCATACCTTGTCCTCCATGTGTCTCCATACCTTGTCCTCCATGTGTCTCCATACCTTGTCCTCCATGTCTCTCCATACCTTGTCCTCCATGTGTCTCCATACCTTGTCCTCCATGTGTCTCCATACCTTGTCCTCCATGTGTCTCCATACCTTGTCCTCCATGTCTCCATACTTTGTCCCCATGTGTTCCATACCTTGTCCTCCATGTGTCTCCATACCTTGTCCTCCATGTCCCATCCTTGTCCTCTATGTGTCTCCATACCTTGTTCTCCATGTGTCTCCATACCTTGTCCCATGTGTCTCCATACCTTTGTCCTCCATGTGTCTCCATACTGTCCTCCATGTGTTCCATACTTGTCCCCATGTGTCTCCATACCTTGTCCTCCATGTGTCTCCATACCTTGTCCTCCATGTGTCTCCATACCTTGTCCCCATGTGTTCCACACCTGTCCCTCCATGTGCTTACCTTGTCCTCCATGTGTCCCCAACCTTGTCCTCCATGTGTCTCCATACCTTGTCCTCCATGTGTCTCCATACCTTGTCCTCCATGTGTCTCCATACCTTGTCCTCCATGTGTCTCCATACCTTGTCCTCCATGTGTCTCCATACCTGTCCTCCATTGTCACTGTCTCCAACACACCTTGTCCTCCATGTGTCTCCATACCTTGTCCCATGTGTCTCCACACCTGTCCCTCCATGTGTCTCCATACCTTGTCCTCCATGTGTCTCCTACCTTGTCCTCCATGTGTCCCATACCTTGTCTTCCATGTGCTCCATACCTTGTTCTCCATGTGTCTCCATACCTTGTCCTCCATGTGTCTCCATACCTTGTCCCCATGTGTTCCATACCTGTTCTCCATGTGTCTCCATACCTTGTCCTCCATGTGTCTCCACCCTTGTCCTCCAGTGTCTCCATACCTTGTCCCTCCATGTGTCTCCATACCTTGTCCTCATGTGTCTCCATACCTTGTTCTCCATGTGTCTCCATACCTTTTCCTCCATGTGTCTCCCACCTGTCCTCCATGTGTCTCCATACCTTGTCCTCCATGTGTTCCATACCTTGTCCTCCATGTGTCTCCATACCTTGTCCTCCATGTGTCTCCCATACCTTGTCCTCCATGTGTCTCCATACCTTGTCCTCCATGTGTCCCATACCTTGTCCTCCATGTGTCTCCATACCTTGTCCCATGTGTCTCCACACCTTGTCCCCATGTGTTCCATACCTTGTCCTCCATGTGTCTCCATACCTTGTCCTCCATGTGTCTCCATACCTTGTCCTCCATGTGTCTCCATACCTTGTCCTCCATGTGTCTCCATACCTTGTCCTCCATGTGTCTCCATACCTTGTCCTCCATGTGTCTCCATACCTTGTCCTCCATGTGTCTCCATACCTTGTCCTCCATGTGTCTCCATACCTTGTCCTCCATGTGTCTCCATACCTTGTCCTCCATGTGTCTCCATACCTTGTCCTCCATGTGTTCCACACCATCTCTCCATGTGTCCCATACCTTGTTCTCATGTGTCCCCATACCTGTCCTCCATGTGTCTCTGCACCTGTCCTCCATGTGTCTCCATACCTTGTTCTCCATGTGTCTCCTGTCCTCCATGTGTCTCCATACCTTGTCCTCCATGTGTCTCCATACCTTGTCCTCCATGTGTCTCCATACCTGTCCTCCATGTGTCTCCATACCTTGTCTCCATGTGTCTCCCAACCTTGTCTCCATGTGTCTCCATACCTTGTCCTCCATGTGTCTCCATACCTTGTCCTCCATGTGTCTCCATACCTGTCCTCCATGTGTCTCCATCCTTCTCCATTGTCTCCACACTTGTCCTCCATGTGTCTCTATACTTGTTCCATGTGTCTCCATACCTTGTCCTCCATGTGTCTCCATACCTTGTCCCCCATGTGTCTCCATACTTCCGCCCTCCATGTGTCTCCATACCTTGTCCTCCATGTGTTCCTCCATACCTTGTCCTCCATGTGTCTCCATACCTTGTCCTCCATGTGTCTCCATACCTTGTCCTCCATGTGTCTCTCTATACCTTGTCCCTCCATGTGTCTTATACCTTGTTCTCCATGTGTTCCATACTGTCCTCCATGTGTCTCCCATACCTTGTCCCCATGTGCTCATTGCTCAGTATCTCCATACCTTGTCCTCCATGCTCCTTGTCTCCCACCTTCCCTCCATGTGTCTCCATACCTTGTCCTCCATGTGTCTCCATACCTTGTTCTCCATGTGTTCCAACCCTCCATGTGTCTCAACCTTGTCCTCCATGTGTCTCTTGCACTGCCCATGGTTCCATACCTTGTCCTCCATGTGTCTCCATACCTTGTCCTCCATGCCTCCATAACCTTGTCCCTCCATGTGTCTCATACCTTGTCCTCCATGCTCTCTATACCTTGTTCTCATGTGTCTCCATACCTTGTCCCTCCATGTGTCTCCATACCTTGTCCTCCATGTGTCTCTATACCTTGTTCTCCATGTATCTCCATACCTTTGTCCCTCCATGTGTCCCCATACCTTGTCCTCCATGTGTTCCCATACCTTGTCCTCCATGTATCTCCATACCATCTCCATGTGTCTCCATAACTTGTCCTCCATGTGTCTCCATAACTTGTCCTCCATGTGTCTCCATACCTTGTCCTCCGTGTTCCATACCTTGTCCTCCATGTGTCTCCATACCTTGTCCTCCTATGTCTCCACACCTTGTCCTCCATGTGTCTCCATACCTTGTCCCTCCATGTGTCTTCATACCTTGTCCTCCATGTGTCTCCACACCTTGTCCTCCATGTGTCTCCACACCTTGTCCTCCATGTGTCTCCATACCTTGTCCTCCATGTGTCTCCATACCTTGTTCTCCATGTCTCCATACCTTGTCCTCCATGTGTCTCCATACCTTGTCCTCCATGTCTCTCCATACCTTGTTCTCCATGTGTCTCCATACCTGTCCTCCATGTGTCTCCATACCTTGTCTCCATGTGTTCCATACCTTGTCCTCCATGTGTCTCCATACCTTGTCCTCCATGTGTCTCCATCCTTGTCCTCCATGTGTCTCCATACCTTGTCCTCCATGTCTCTCCACATGTTCTCCTGTGTCTCCATACCTTGCCTTTTTCTCCTTCCCTCCTTCCCTCGTCTCTCTCACCCCCACCCTCTCTCTCTCTGTCCCTCACCTATCTTCCTTCCCCTCCCTTCCTGTTCCTCTCTGCTCTATCTTTCTCTTTCTTTCCTTTCTCTCCATATGTCCCTCCCTCATCCTTCATTTAGCCTCCTCTCACTCTCTCTCCATTTGCTATAAACACACACACACACACACACACACACACACACACACACACACACACACACACACACACACACACACATGCAAGATTATTCTCCTTCCTACTCCACATATCAAGAAGCACTCAACACACTGACCCTCCTGACTCTACTGACCATCACCACAACCTCATCTGCAATTTGGTGAGAAGCTTCTGCACCATCCTCGACACCGGCTCCTACTAACACCTGAGATCCTCACAATTGCTGTTCGACACCACAACTGCATCCAGCCCATACGTGCACGAACTGATCACTATAAGAACAGCCATTAAAAATTATCAATAACTTGTAATCAACCAGTGTATTCACTCCCAGTCAATCTTACTTTACACTGTTGCTATGTTGAAATGCCCTGTAGTTTGAGTTCTCCCCACCTAGTTATTATATATCATATTTGTATCACTTATGTTACTTGTATATCATTTGCAACTCAAGTGACCCATTCCCCAATTATGTAGCTAGATATTTTCAGCATTCCCGCTGTCATGCTCTTTTCAGGCCACAGTTAACTAGTTAGGAATCTTTCTTGTATGTAAGCAAGTATACTGAGGCGAGTGTATTGAGGCGCGTGCAGTGTGAGGCGAGTATAATGAGGCGATTGGAGTTGAGGCGAGAGTAGTGTGAGGCGAGTGTAGAGTGAGGTGAGTATAGTGTGGCGAGTGTACTTAGGCAAGTGTATTTTGAAGCGAGTGGAGTTGAGGCAGGTATAGAATGAAGCAACTATACAATGAAGCGAATAGAGTGAAGCAAGTACTACTCCCTTATCTGATGACGAAACCATGGGTCAATTTGCATACCTATTTCATTTCTATTAAAATAAGGGCCCTCTCACCTCTCATGCACACTTCATGAATAGTCTTAATTAACTTCTTTGTTCCAGGCAGGTAAATAATCTCACATTCATCTTTTTTTTATTATTACTATTTTTTTTATTACTATTATTATTTTTTAAATATCTCGTAATTTGTCTCTCGTTGGTGTTATAGTGAGGCGAGTGAAGTGAGGCGAGTGTAGTGAGGCGAGTGCAGTGAGGCGAGTGCAGTGAGGCGAGTGTAATGAGAAGGGAGTGTATAGAGTGAGGCGAGTATAGAGTGAATCAAATACAGTGTGAATCAAGTATACAATGAGTGAGGCGAATACAGTGAGGCGAGCATAGTGAGGCGAATATGGTCAAATATATTAAGATAACCACAACTACATCAGCACTCTTCCTAACTGATAACATCCCTCTATAGCCTTGTCTGAGCCCCTTAACTCCTCAGGTGGGGAGACTTGACTCACTCGCTCACCCAATATATTTATAGAAACTGCTGCCGCGACATAGACTGACTCAGCATGAATTGGTTGTGTTGTGTTGTGTTGTGTTGTGTTTTTTAAGTTGCGTTGTGTTGTATTTTATAAGTTGTGTTGCGTTGTGTTGTGTTGTGTGTTGTGTTGTGTTGTATTTTATAAGTTGTGTTGTGTTTGTAAGTTGATGCACAACGAAGGCTTGTGGTTTACCTAGACTAAACATCACGTAAATTACTCTTCTGTCAGGCGGAAACACAAGGACTAAATTATCATAGACGCGGGAAGTAGAAATGTATGTATGTATGTATGTATGTATGTATGTATGTATGTATATTTATTTTGTCAACATAATCAGTTAAGTTAGACAATAAGACAGGTTACATACAGGTCCTCGGCCCCTCTCCCTCCCTCCATTATGACCTTTGACCTCTCTCATCTCGTAGGTTAATGAGTCTCAATTCTTTGTTTATCTGATAATATTACCGCCACACTCACACAGTAATGGCGGAACAAATGCTTTATGACTGTTTTATGGCGTCTGTTGCAACCCAGGTCATCCCAGGTCAGGTTTTTACCGCGGTATGGATGACGCTTTATGACCGCCACCCTTCACGACCCATCACCTACACATGAGGTCATCATCTTAACCTGGACTCACCTCACCTGAATCGCCATGACGCCGGGTTTATACATTCAATGATGGGGGTAGGAGATATTCTGGGATATTTAGAACTAATTAGGTTAATGTATATTTTGTGATATTTAAAAGCTTTCTGGGCATAATGATCTAGACAACTGTATGTACAATATGTAATTTCTGTATCTGCTTGGAATTGTACCTGAACCTTTTGAACTTGTACAATATCTGATTCTAACCTTGTATAAGTACAGGTCCTTGTATTTGTAGTTTTAAGTGTCTCTAACTTGGCATATACCTGTAACTGTATTAGTAACTGCATATTTACCATCACAAGGGATACAATTTTCCACTATGCTGCAAAATAAAAAAAAAAAATTAAATTAAATTAAAACATCTTAAACTTACCTTGACTTAAGTTTTTTCATTAACTAACCTGAGCAAAGTTGTGTATAAGGTGTGAGAAGTCAAGAGCAAAACTTTCACTGCTTCATATGGGAACAACACACTGCTACAGGTGTTGATATAGGAGCAACACACTGCTACAGGTGTTGATATAGGAGCAACACACTGCTACAGGTGTTGATATAGGAACACACTGCTACAGGTGTTGATATAGGAGCAAATACAGGTGTTGATATAGGAGCAACACACTGCTATGTTGATAGAGCAAATACACTGCTACAGGTGTTGATATTGGAACAACACACTGCTACAGGTGTTGAGCAACACACTGCTACAGGTGTTGATATAGAGCAACACACTGCTACAGGTGTTGATATAGGAGCAAACACACTGCTACAGGTGTTGATATTGGAACATCCACTGCTACAGGTGTTGATATAGGAAACATCTCACTGCTGTTTGATATAGGAACATTCACTGCTACAGGTGTTGATAGGGGCAACACACTGCACAGGTGTTGATATAGGAACAACACACTGCCAGGTGTTGATATAGGAACATCTCACTGCTACAGGTGTTGATATAGGAACATCTCACTGCTACAGATGTTGATATAGAACATCTCACTGCTACAGGTGTTGATATAGGAACATCTCACTGCTACAGGATATAGGAACATCCACAACAGGTGTTGATATAGGAGCAACACACTGCACACAGGTGTTGAAACAACACACTGCTAGGAGCAACACACTGCTACAGGTGTTGATATAGGAACATCTCACTGCTACAGGTGTTGAGCACCACATATAGGAGCAACACACTACTACAGGTGTTATAGGAGCAACACACTGCTACAGGTGTTGATATAGGAGCAACACTGTAGGTGTTGATATAGAACAACACACTGCTACAGGTGTTGATATAGGAGCAACACACTGCTACAGGTGTTGATATAGGAACATCTCACTGCTACAGGTGTTGATATAGGACACACCGCCATGTTGATATAGAGCAACACACTACTACAGGTGTTGATATAGGAGCAACACACTGCTACAGGTGTTGATATAGGAACATCTCACTGCACAGGTGTTGATATAGAACATCTCACTGCTACAGGTGTTAATATAGGAACAACACACTGCTACAGGTGCTGATATAGGAGTAACACACTGCTACAGGTGTCGATATAGGAGTAACACACTGCTACAGGTGATATAAGAGTAACACGCTGCTACAGGTGTTGAGATAACAGCTACAGGTGTTGATATAGGAGTAACACACTGCTACAGGTGTTGACATAGGAACAACACACTGCTACAGGTGTTGATATAGGAACAACAATAATTCACAGTGTTGATATAGGAACAACACACTACTACAGGTGTTGATATAGGAACAACACTGCACAGTGTTGATATAAACAAAAACACAAGTGTTGATATAGGAACAACACACTGCTACAGGTGTTGATATAGGAACAACACACTGCCAGGTGTTGATATAGAGTAACACACTGCTACAGGTGTTGATATAGGAACAACACACTGCTACAGGTGTTGATATAGGAGTAACACACTGCTACAGGTGTTGATATAGGACAACACACTGCTACAGGTGTTGATATAGGAGTAACACACTGCTACAGGTGTTGATATAGGGTAACACACTGCTACAGGTGTTGATATAGGAGTAACACTGCTACAGGTGTTGATATAGGAGTAACACACTGCTACAGGTGTTGATATAGGAGTAACACACTGCTACAGGTGCTGATATAGGAACAACACACTACTACAGGTGTGATATAGGAACAACACACTACTACAGGTGTTGATATAGGAGTAACACACTGCTACAGGTGTTGATATAGGAACAACACACTGCTACAGGTGTTGATATAGAAGTAACACACTGCTACAGGTGCTGATATAGGAACAACACTACTACAGGTGTTGATATAGGGTAACACACTGCTACAGGTGTTGATATAGGAGTAACACACTGCTAC